GAAAATGTGGATATATGAGGGAATTGTGATTTCTGGACTTGGGAAAGGTCATTGAAATTAATAAAAATCATTGGCAACATTTTCTTGAGGTTTTGATACATAATACAATATAAAATTTAATGCATTCATTATTTCTTGTAATGTTACTTGCATTGTATGATTACATGAATAATTGTAACCACATTTATAATACTTATCCAATTATAATTATACCTTTAGAAAGTATATTTCATTAAAACACATGACAAACAACTGATTTTAGATGTTTTAGAATTATACACACTATTTTTTACAAGATTTTTTTTTTATAACATCAAAAGTTTTGAAAACAACACCAACATTTTTGAAAAGCCAAAAGAGCAATATTTATTTGATCCGAGCAATCAAAAATATTGGGCCTTTATATTTATTTTTTTTTTTTTTTTTTAAAGAAAATTTCATTAAATCACACACACACACAAAATGATATTTTCCAAAAGAAATATATTATATTACATGAAGGGCCCTTGAATCTTTTAGTAAATAATTGGGGGTCAAAAGGTCAAATAGGTTGAAAACCACTGGGTTAGTTTCCAAAAATGACTATTTTCTTATTATTTATTTACTCACCCTCATTCTGATCCAGACCTTGCTGTCGAAAACAAGCTCTTTTCCACTTAGTGCCCACATCTTGAAAGCTGCAAAATGTGAAAATATATACATAAATATATTATAAGAAGTGCATATATGACTTTAACCAGTCATGTGAGAAACTAGTAATAGTGAGATGAGAGTAGAACTACAGCTAATGGCAACATTCACCAATCGCCACTTGCAAGTGAAAACTAACATTTGTGAGTAATTAAAACCGTTATCAGTAACATTGCAAGGACAAAGCAACATAATACACTGAATAAATCAAACTGTAAGAATGCTAATCTGAATCTTGTTGTTCTAAGTGATTAAATCAAATAAGAAACTCTTCTAATAGATTTGACCTCAATTTAATCAAGTTTACATTGAGGATGACTAGAGTTTTTTCCCCCTCGAAACTGTTTCAGCACGTCAAGTAATCCATGCATTAAGCCACCAAAATGAAAATATGAGGAACAAAATTATTTTGTGACCGGTGCCTTTCATCTGACAGCTGATGCTGTGTCACTATTGTGCATATATTGCATAATCCCATTTCAGAAACAAAAGAGGGGAAATTAAATGTGACATTTACAAACAACAGCAACTAAAGAATATAATTAGTTTCATAACTATGATCTGGTATTTTATTTAATGCAAATATATTTTACTTAGAATTTTTAATTATGCTTAATGTTGCCTCCTTGGCCTGGAGGATTCAGATAAAAATCCTGGCTGAGCATCAGATCATGTTGATGTTAACAGGAGCTCACAGACAGCAGAAGCGTGTCTCACCTGAGCTAAAATGTCACTATGTTCATCATGTAAAACACACTGAGCTATAAGCTGTTAGAGGTTCATTGTAAAGTCAACAGAAACTTTGAAACCTGTCTGACGGGTCAGACCGCTGAGACTGAGTTTCTTATGTCCCAGCCTCAGTCAGAGATCAAGAGTGGCATTTAACCTCACAGGAGAAATCTTTCACTTCTCGCCTCAATACATGACCAGAAAAATACATATACGCGGCATTTAAGTAGAAAAAAAAAGTAGACGATTGTTTACGTTTGAGGTCGATGAAAACACGCTCCTCAGATTTGCATATTGAAGTTACACGAAATGTTTGTGCGCCATCTAGCGCATCGGTTTAAAACTGCGCCTTAAACATCAAAACTA